CACTGGTCTGATCCAGCAGGGCTCTTCTGATGTTCTTATGAAGGCCTTGGCCTCCGTGCCCTGTGGTGTTGGCCCTCCAGAGGAACTGGTTGGCCAGTGAGACAGGATGCAGAACTCGATGGACCACTGGTCTGATCCAGCAGGGCTCTTCTGATGTTCCTATGAAGGCCTCGGCCTCTATGCCCTGCTGTTGGCCCTCCAGAGGAACAGGTTGGCCCCTGTGTGAGACAGGATGCTGGACTAGATGGACCCTCTCTGGTCTGATCCAGCAGGGCTCTTCAGGTGTTCTTTTGACCGGGGCAGACATCCCACTTGCCCTCTGAACAGAGCCGTCCGTTCTCCAAACCCACCCTCAGACAAGCAGTGGGTTTGTTCCATCTGCCAGGGATGCTTCCTCTCTTTGCTCCGTCTAGACCAGGGGTGGCCAAACTGTGGCTTGGGAGCCACATGCGGCCCTTTCACGCATATTGTGTGGCTCCCGGCACGGTGGCTGGGGAAGCAAAGGGGAGGCGTGCCTCCCGGATCGGTCTTCCCTTCCCCAGCCTGGGTAGGCTTGAGGTGGTGGTGGGGGAACAGAGAAAGAAAGCAACTTTAACTTTAAACGCATTCTCAAAGCCCCTCTCCCCCAGCCTACAAGTATCATTGGCTAAATAAGCATCATCATCAATATCTGTTTTTACCCTTTTTGTTTTTATTTTTTGGCAGTCTCATTTAATGTTAACGAAAAGCAAATTTGCATATTTTTTCAGTAAAAACATGTGTGTAATATTTGTTCATGTCTTGCGGCTCTCAAACATCTGACGTTTATTCTATGTGGCTCTTATGTTAAGCAAGTTTGGCCGCCCCGGGTCTAGAACTTGTGCCCGTGAATTGCTTGTAACCCACCACCTCTCCCGCCCCCACAGACCAGACGGAGGCACCGCTGACATCCGAGTCCACCAGTTGTCTCTCTCCACTCTCCTCGGGCTTGGCAAGGAGGCCACGGGACGGCCACGGGTGTGGGCTGCTCGGTGCCGGGCCACCATTGGGGACATCCGCTTGAAATTCCACGGGGGAAACAGGTGGGTAAACCTGATTTTCGCACTGAGCTTCCTTCATAGGGCACTCCTAAGATGGGACCGGAGAACATCCTGATGGCTCTCAACTAGCAACCAGAGAATCATGGAATAGTTGGAAGGGACCTCCAGGGTCATCTAGTCCAACCCCCTGCACAGTGCAGGAAATTCACAAATTTATTTATTTATTTTATTTATTTATTTCACTTTTACCCCACCCTCCCCGCAAGCAGGCTCAGGGCGGCTTCCAAAACTGACGAGCAGTATACATGCACAATAAAATATAAATACAAGGCATCAGTTAAAACACAAACAATCCATATAAAACATTCAAATACCTTTCCCCCCCCACACACACACAGTGATGCCTGTCCCATGCCCAGAAGAGGACAAAAAACCTCCAGGAGCTCCAGCCAAACTGGCCTGGAGAAAAATTGCTTCCTGACCATTGCTCCCTCTAAGCTGTGGAGTTTTGTGAGCAAAAATTCTCCTTCGGGAGCCACTGGCATTAAAGTGGTGAGTGACCGATTTGGCGGCTGCCTAAGTTAGTTTGCTCTGGAGCCATCCCCTCCTGAGTGAAGACAAAAATTTATTTATTTTATTTATTTTTGGATTTATATCCCACCCTCCCCGAAGGCTCAGGGCAGCGAACGACGAGGCACAAGTGCCAGATTTAAAACAGATAAAACAGTCTAAAACAATAAAATAATACAGTACAACAACAAAGTGTCAGTGCAAGATGGGGTAGAACTTCCTCGAGGCTAAAAAACCGGAGGCTAAAAAACTGTGAGCTAGCTCACACTCACTCAGCTTAGAGGGAACAGTGTTCCTGACCGCAAAGTGGCGATCGGCATTTCCCTGGGCGTGTAAGAGAGGGCCGTGAGAACTAAGCACTGATGCAACCCTTCCTGCCCTCCCTTCTCATGATCTGCCCAAGTTCACACAATCCGCATTGCTGTCAGATGGCCATCGAGCCTCTGCTGGAAAACCTGCCGAGAAGGAGAGCCCACCACCACCCGAGGAAGCCTGTTCCACTGAGGAACCGCTGTTTAGCCGGAAACACTTCTGATTTAATTTCAACCTGTTGGTTCTCGTCTGACCTTCTGGGGCAACAGGAAACCAGTCTGCCCTGTCCTCTAGATGACAGCCCTTCAAGTACTTGAAGATGGTTATCCTATCACTTCTCAGTCGTCTCCTCTCCAGGCTAAACATACCCAGATGAAGAAGAAGAGAAGAGATTGGATTTATACCCCACCCTTCACTACCCGAAGGAGTCTCAGAGTGGCTTACCATCTCCTTATCACAGAATCATAGAATGCTAGAGTCGGAAGGGACCTTGCAGGTCACCTAGTCCAACCCCCTGCACTCTGCAGGAGCACAGCCGAAAGGTAGCCCTGCAACATACCCGGAAGATGGTCGTCCAGCCTCCACTTGAAAACGTCCAGCAAAGGAGCATCCACCACCTCCCAAGGCAGTCTGTGTTCCACTGCTCAACCACTCTTACAGTTAGGAAGTTTTTCCTGATATTTAGCCGGTACTGACTCCCTTGTAATTCCCACCCATTAGATCTAGTCTTGCAATCCGGAGCAAGAGAGAACAGATCTGCTCCATCTTCTACATGAGAGCCCTTCAGATACTTGAAGACTGCAATCTTGTCCCCTCTAAGCCTTCTCTTTCCCAGGCTAAACAGACCCAACTCTTTCAGCCTTTCCTCATAAGACTTGGATTCCAACCAATGTTCCCTCTAAGCCGTGGAGTCTTGTGAGCAAAAATCCTACCTTGTGAGCTGCTGGCATTAAAGTTGTGAGCAAGTGATTTGACTGCTGCATCAGTCAGTTAGCTCTGGAGCCGTCCTTCCTGAGCTGAGACAAAAATGTGTGAGCCGTAGGCTAAAAAACTGTGAGCTGGCTCACACTTCACTCACCTTAGAGGGAACACTGATTCCAACCCCCTCGCCATCCTGGTTGCCCTCTTCTGGACACGCTCGAGCTTGTCAACACCCTTCCGAAAATGTGGTGCCCCAAACTGGACATAGGACTCCGGGTGAGGCCTGACCCTAGCAGAACAGAGCGGAACGACCACCTCCCGTGATCTGGACACAAGGCTTCTGTGAATGCATCCCAAGATTGCATTAGCTTTCTTTGCAGTCACATCACACTGCAGGCTCGTGTTTAACTCCTTTCCCTTCCCTCTCCCCACAACAGACACCCTGTGAGGCGGGTGGGGCTGAGAGAGCTCTCTTGGGAACTGCTCCTGAGAGAACAGCACACCCCGGTCAAAAGACACCTCTCCAGGCTAAACATACCCAGCTCCTTCAACCTTTCCTCCTAGGACTTGGTCTCCAGGCCCCTCACCATCTCCGTTGCCCTCCTCTGGACACGCGCCAATCAAAAAACTCAAAACTCAAATACCTTTTATTGGCATACAATATTAAAATAAACATTTCCCAGTATTAATACAATCCAGTAGAGATTATAAAATAGATAATCGTGGTAAACCATTCCAAGGATATGTCAGGCCTATACCATACCTCAAGTTGTCACAAGACAGATTTGACCATACACAGGGCTTTTTTTGTAGAGAAAGCCCAGCAGGAACTCATTAGCATAACAGGCCACACCCAACAGCCGAAACTCAGTAGCATAGTGGGCCACACCCCTGACAGCACAGCACATTAGCATATTAGGCCACACCCCCATGTCACAATAAGTGTGGTCATCCAGCCACACCCACCTTTTGCATCTTATTCTGTTTACCTTGTTTGTTGTCCAAACCCAGGGCTTTTTTTTGTAGCAGGAACTCCTTTGCATGTTAGGCCACACACCCCGAATGTAGCCAATCCAAATGAGTTCCTGCTGTTGGGTGTGGCCTATTATGCTAATGAGTTCCTGCTGGGCGTGGCCAACTCAGGAGCCAGCCGGAACTCCGTTCCTGTGCGTTACTGCCCAAAAATAGCCCTGACCATACAGAAGATAGCTGAGTCGTAGAATAAATTGAAATCTAAACTTTTAAACTTAAGGTGTTTGTTTTAAATTATAAATTAAGAATCATTAATATGCTCAGAATCATTCTTCCGTTTTATAAAACCATGAAGAAACTTAGAGGTCACTTCAATGATCTCCGGGTCTCGTGAAGCAAGGAGATAATTTATTTATTTATTTATTATTTATATTTTTATCCCGCCCTCCCCGTAGCTTGTTTCTATCCGGTTGGCCTGCTACCAACCTAAGGGGGGCTTCTATAAATTCCACTCGAAGGTCATTTAACAATTTACCGTGTAAGAGTACGTGCCCAACCGTTTCTATTTCTCTTCCATTACATCCACAAAACCTGACTGAATAAGGAATTTTCTTATATCTCCCCTCAAGAATAGTAGAGGGGAAACATGCGCCAGTCTTGGGTGTCTAATCAGGCCTCTGTCCCTGGCGGATGGGCAAAGCTGCCAACTCCAGGTTGGGAAATTCTTGAAGGTTTGGGGGTGGAGCCTGGGGAGGGTGGGGTTTTAAGCGGGGAGAGGCCTCAGCCGGGAAATTGGTGCCAGGGAGTCCACCCTCCAAAGCGGCCATTTCCTCCGGTGTCTGGAGCTCAGCTTTAATTCCAGAGGAACGATATATGAGGATCAAATGGGGTTGGACTAGATGACCCCGGGGGTTCCTTCCAGCTCCATGATTCTACGAAAGGAGCGTTACAAAAGTTACCACGGGCCATCCTGGGGGAGGAAAGTGGGGTGGAGATGAAGTAAATCAGTGAACAAATTGACAGAGGCTTCCCTTTGGAGAGGGTCCGCCGCTACCCTCTCCTCCTGTGTCGGAAGAGCACCGCCCGTGTTTTATGTACAAAAGGAGAGTCATACTTTGCATCACATTTGCTTAGTGCGGTCATTGTGAAGAAGAAGAAGAGAAGAGATTGGATTTATCCCTCGCCCTTCACTACCCAAAGGAGTCTCAGAGCGGCTTACAAACTCCTTTCCCCTCCCCACCACAGACACCCTGTGAAGTAGGCGAGGCTGAGAGAGCTCTGGCAGAAACTGCTCTTTTTTCAAGAACAGCTCTGAGAGAACTACGGCTTGACCAAGGTCATCCAGCAGGTGCAAGTGGAGAAGTGGGGAATCAAGCCCGGTTCTCCCAGATTAGAGTCCGCGCACTTAACCACTACACCAAACTGACTGAAGAAGAGATTGGATTTATACCCAGCCCTTCAATAATCAAATGTGTCTCAGAGCGGCTGACAAACTCCTTTCCCTTCCCCTCCCCACAACAGACACCCTGGGAGGTAGGTGGGGCTGAGAGCTCTGACAGAAACTGCTCTTTTTCAAGGGCAGCTCTTGTCAGGACTGCTGTTGAGAGAACAGCTTGCCCAAGGTCATCCAGCAGGTGCAAGTGGAGGAGTGGGGAATCAAGCCCGGTTCTCCCAGATTAGAGTCCGTGCACTTAACCACTACACCAAAATGTGGGCACCTTGTGGTGCAGAGATATGTTTAGGATTAATGGTTTCCTCTAAGCTGAGTTAGTGTGAGCCAGCTCACAGTTTTTTAGCCTCTGGCTCACAGATTTTTGTCTTAGCTCAGGAAGGAGGGCACCAGAGCCAACTAATTTACACAGCAGCCAAATTGCTCGCTCACAACTTTAATGCCGGGAGCTCACAAAGTAGAATTTTTGCTCACAAGACTCCACACCTTAGAGCAGGGGTGTCGAACTCATTTGTTATGAGGGCCGGATCTGACAAAAATGAGACCTTGTCGGGCCGGGCCATGTGTGTCATGAAATGTGATGCCAGGTAGCGGAGATATAAACTTTATAAAGGACACAAACACAAAGGGGTTGTTGTTGTTGTTTACTTAAAATAAAAACAGGCTTAAAACATTAGCTCTGTAAGCGGCAAACCTACTTTTGATTTAGTGACATTCACCACAGAAATCTCACGCTCAGAGTTCTGAGTCTAGGACCCAGGGTTGAAACATGAAATGGCTGCGTCATTCAGAGAGTCTGGCAAAGCAAATCTATGATGCAGAAGCAGCAGCAGAACCGGAAGCAGAAGATGGCCGGTTCCACTGCAGGCCTGAGGGAAGCCCTCCGGGGCCTGATCCGGCCCCCGGGCCGCATGTTTGACACCTCTACCTTAGATGGAGCATTACTCGGGACGCCTCCCTCACGCTTCTTCCCTACGCTCCTCTTTCCCACAGCTGGTTCTACAACCGCTTCACTTCCGTACTGGAGATGCTCCTTCAATCAAAGCTCAACAAACAAGTGAGTCTTAACAGCAGTTGATGCCGATTCTTCCTCTGGGAACGTGCCGGGCAGGAGGAGAGCTGGGTCGTATTCCCGGTGCCTGTCTGTCCAGCCCGTGGCAAGTTGAAAGGCATCTATTTGTGGAACAGTCAAATGATGTGGGACCTTGGGGTTCAGTCCCCAGCATTGTGGCATGGATCATGGCTGTCCCGGCCCTGGGAAGGATCTGTTAGCAGCAGGGGTATTTTCCTGCAGGAGCGCACAGGAGCAGAGCTCCGGCAGTAAAGAGCCCGGGGGGCGGGCACATGCAACAAGCCCCGCCCCCTGCTCCCAGCAGCCCTCAGTCAGAGCAAGAAGCAGCCAGGTAAGCTGCAGAGCCCCCCTGGCCAAAACAGTCCAGTGGCACCTTTAAGACCAAGTTTTATTCAGGTACAAGCTCTCCCTCCTCTGCGAGGACAGATCTGCACTCCAAAACATAGCTAGCAATTCAAAACAGTCCAGTGGAGCCTGAGCGGTGGGTGTTGCCGTCTGATGCACTTCCAGTGACGTCAGGGGGTGTGGCATATGCAAATGAGTCATGCTAATGAGTTATGCTAATGAGCTCCTGCACCTCTTTTTGTACGGAATGACCCCTGGTTAGCAGGCAGAGCTTTCATTTGCAGGAGCGCCGTCTCCTGAGCCTAAAGAGATGGCAATACAATTTGCATGAGTGCAATGTTCTTTGGGGGGGGGGGAAGGTATAGGTGTAGTACAGCCTGATCTTGTCAGCTCTTGGAAGCTAAGCCAGGCCGGCACTTGGATGGGAGTCTACCGAGGAACTCTCTGCATAGAAAGGCCATGGCCAATCACCTCTGCCTAGTCGCTTGCCTTGAAAGCCCCTTGCTGGAGTTGCCATAAGTCTTGGATGGGAGAGCACCGAGGAAGGGAGACCACCAAGGAGGAGGATGCGCAGGAAGAGGAAACGGAAGAGGAGGAGGGGGAGGAGGAAGGAGAAGAGGAGGAGGAGGTTGGATTTATACCCCGCCCTTCACTACCCGAAGGAGTCTCAGAGCGGTTTATAATCTCCTTTCCCTCCCCCTACCCACAACAGACACCTTCTGTGAGTTAGGTGGGGCTGAGAGAGCTCTCTTAAAAACTGCCCTTGAGAGAACAGCTCTGAGAGAACTTGGGACTGGCCCAAGGTCACACCAGCAGCTGCATGTAGAGGCGTGGGGAATCAAACCTGTTTCTCCCAGATTAGAGTCCACACTCCAAACCACTATACCAAACTGGCTCTCCTATGCTTCTCGCTCCTTGCTTGCCTTGAAAGCCCCTCGCTGGATTTGCCATAAGTCTTGGATGGGAGACCACCAAGGAAGTCTCTGCAGAGGAAGGCAAGGGCAAACCACCTCTGCCTACTCGCTTGCCTTGAAAGCCCCTTGCTGGGGTGGCCATAAGTCTTGGATGGGAGTCCACCAAGGAAGGCTCTGCAGAGGAAGGCAAGGGCAAACCACCTCTACTTACTCGTGCAGGGGAACGGTATCTGTCTATCCACCAGCTTGGCCTGTTCTTTAATATTTCTGGGTTCTGTTCTCTTCCAGCTGTGTTTCGAACTCAAGAAAGGCGTTGATGATATCGCACCAGTCCTGCACGCCATGAACGGTATGTATGTGTGCGCGCCAAGAAACGTATGTTCAAAAGACACTTCACCTCTCTCTGGACAGTTCCGGAGGCCTACAGTTGCCAACGTCCAGGTGGGGGCCGGGCAATCTCTCAGAATTACAAATGATCTCCAGACGACAGAGATCAGTTCCCCCTGGAGGAAATGGGTGCTTTGGAGGGTGGACTCTGTGGCATTGCATCCTTGCTTGAGCACACTCTCTTATCCAAACTCAGGGTGCCAACCTCCAGGTGGGGGCCGGGTGATCTCTTGGAATTACAGCTCATCTCTAGACTCAAGAGCTCAGTTCCCCTGGAGGAAATGGCTGCTTTGGAGGGTGGACTCTGTGGCATTGCATCCTTGCTTGAGCACACTCTTTTATCCAAACTCAGGGTGCCAGCCTCCAGGTGGGACCAGGGGATCCCCCGGAATTACAGCTCATCTCTAGACTCAAGAGCTCAGTTCCCTGGAGGAAATGGCTGCTTTGGAGGGTGGACTCTGTGGCATTGCATCCTTGCTTGAGCTAGGGATGCCAGGCTTCTAGAGGGACCTGGGGATGTCCCAGAATTACAGCTCATCGCTAGACTCCAGAGATCAGATTATCCTGGAGGAAATGGCTGCTTTGGAGGGTGACTCTGTGGCAGTGCACCCCAATGGGTTCCCTCCCCAAACCCCGCCCCCCAGGCTCCATCCCCAAATATCCAGGAATTTCCCAGCCTGGAGTTGGCAACCCTACAGGAGGCAGCTGGGACGTTGTCGTGCTAGAGGAATCTTTTCTCCCTCTTCGGCTACAGTCTCCATCCGGATAAATTCCTTTGCGGAACTGGACTACTCCTTTGTGAGCAAGCCGGTGTTTGGTGTGGACCGGTGCCACGTAGATCTCAAGGTAAGACATCTGGGCTGTGGCGGGGATCCCGATTCCCGGCAGTATTTTTTTTTTTTACTCCTCTAGGGATCTGTGACACTTTTCGATATCTGCCTGGCCTTGGAAGTGTGGGGCGGAGAGTTCCTGCCGGTCCGTGCAGAGCCACGGAGAGATCTGCCTTGGGGGCCAAGTTGACCGTCCCCTGTGACCCAAAAGCAGAGTCCTGCATACATTTCCAAGCAGGCGGATATGGAAAACGCAGTCCTGGCAGTCCGAATGGTAGATTTTCCAGGGAGAAATGTCGTCGGAACTATCTCTGGTGCCTCCCTGACCTTGGTAGCCTGGGCGAGCCTGATCCCGTGAGATCTCAGAAGCGAAGCAGGGCCGACCCCGGCGAGCACTTGGAAGGGCGACCTCCAAGGAATACTGGGGCTGGGACACAGAGGTAGGAAATATCAGTGTCCAGGTTGGGGCACCACATTTGAGGAAGGATGTTGACAAGCCCGAGCGTGTCCAGAAGAAGGCAACCAGGATGGCGAGAGGGTTGGACTCCAAGTCTCACGGGGAAAGGCTGAAAGAGTTGGGTGTGTTTCGCCTGGGAAAGAGAAGGCTTAGAGGGGACAGGATTGCAGTCTTCAAGTATTTGAAGGGCTGTCATGTAGAAGATGGAGCAGATCTGTTCTCTCTTGCTCCGGATTGCAAGACTAGAGATCTAATAGGTGGAAATTACAAGGGAGTCGTTACCAGCTGAATATCAGGAGAAACTTCATGACTGGAAGAGTGGTTGAGGGGTGGAACACAGTCTGCCTCGGGAGGTGGTGGATGCTCCTTTGCTGGACATTTTCAAGCGGAGGCTGGACGACCCTCTTTCGGGTATGTTGTAGGGCTGTCTTTCGGCTGTGCTCCTGCAGAGTGCAGGGGGTTGGACTAGATGACCTGCAGGGTCCCTTCCGACTCTAACGCTCTACGATTCTATGATCAAGCCACCTCTCTGAAAAATGTCCAGGCCCCACTAGGGGGGTCACCAGAAGCGAGCCAGTTTAGCGTAGTGGTTAAGTGCGTGGACTGTAATCTGGGAGAACCGGGTTTGATTCCCCACTCCTCCACTCGCAGCTGCTGGATGACCTTGGGCAAGCCATAGTTCTGTCCTTGAAAAAGGGCAGTTCTGGAAAGAGCTCTCTCAGCCCTGCCTACCTCACAGGGTGTCTGTTGTGGGGAGGGGGAGGGAAAAGAAGCTTGTCAGCCGCTCTGAGAATCCGAGTGAATGGCGGGGTATAAATCTCTTCTTCTTCTTCTTCCTCTTCCTCCTCTTCTTCTTCTTCCTCTTCCTTTTCTTCCTCTTCTTCTTTCTCTTCTTCTTCCTCTTCTTCTTCTTCCTCTTCTTCTACCTCTTCCTCTTCTTCTTCTTCTTCCTCTTCTTCCTCCTTTTCTACTTCTTCCTCTTCTTCTTCCTCTTCTTCTTCTTCCTCTTCCTCTTCTTCCTCTTCTTCTTCTTCCTCCTCTTCTTCCTCCCCTTCTTCTTCTTCTTCCTCTTCTTCTTTCTCTTCTTCTTTCTCTTCTTCTTCCTCTTCTTCCTCCTCTTATTCTTCCTCCTCCTCTTCTTCTTCCTCCTCCCCTTCTTCTTCTTCTTCCTCTTCCTCTTCTTCTTTTTCCTCTTCTTCTTCCTCTTCTTCTTCTTCCTCCTCCTCTTCCTCCTCCTCCTCTTCTTCTTCCACCTCCTCTTCTTCCTCTTCTTCTTCCTCCTCTTCTACTTCTTCCTCTTCTTCTTCTTCCTCTTCTTTCTTTTCTTCTTCTTCCTCCTCCTTTTCTTCTTCTTCTTCCTCTTCTTCCTCTTCTTCTTCCTCTTCCTCTTCTTCTTCTTCACCATGACTTCCAGGCATGCACACACATGTACGCATGCACACACACACCAAAAAAAGAGAAAAAGGCAATGTCTTTGGTGCCCTCACTTTCTGGGGGTGGGAACGGCTGTCATTGCTGTTGACGGATGGAGATCCTGTCGGGTCTTCAAGGCAAGAGACATTCAGAGGTGGGTTTGCCGTTGCCTGCCTCTGCGTAGCAGCCACCCTGGGCTTCCTTGGGGGTCTCCCACCCAAGTACTAACCAGGGCTGACTCTGCTTCGCTTCTGAGATCCGATTAGATCGGGCTCGCCTGGGCCGTCCGGGTCAGGGCCCTCTCTGTCTAAGGGGTTCATTTTTCCAGACCTGGTCAAAGGCTTTTGGGCAACTGACGTTGGGGAGGCCAAGCTGTCTCCCCTCCTCTCTGCTCTAGGGGGGCAGCACCCGTCCTCTTTCCCCCACACACACACCTGACTGAAACGGTGAGGTGTTGCTAGGGTTGCCAACTTCAAGAAGAAGAAGAAGAAGAAGAAGAAGAAGAAGAAGAAGAAGAAGAAGAAGAAGAGGAGGAGGAGGAGGAGGAGGAGGAGGAGGAGGAGGAGGAGATTGGATTTCTACCCCACCCTTCACTACCCAAGGGAGTCTCCGAGCGGCTTACAAACTCCTTTCCCTTCCCCTCCCCACAACAGGCAGGTGGGGCTGAGAGAGCTCTTTTGAGGACTGCCCTTGAGAGAATGGCTTGCCCAAGGTCATCCAGCAGCTGCAAGTGGAGGAATGGGGAATCAAGCCCAGTTCTCCCAGATTAGAGGAGGAGGAGGAGGAGAAGAAGCAGAAGAAGAAAAAGATATTGGATTTCTACCCCACTCTTCACTACCCAAGGGAGTCTCCGAGCGGCTTACAAACTCCCTTCCCTTCCCCTCCCCACAACAGACACCCTGTGAGGGAGGTGGGGCTAAGAGAGCTCTTTTGAGGACTGCCCTTGAGAGAACGGCTTGCCCAAGGTCATCCAGCAGCTGCAAGTGGAGGAATGGGGAATCAAACCCGGTTCTCCCAGATTACAGTCTGCGCACTTAACCACTACACCAAACTGGCTGCCTTATACCTCACCCTTCACTTCCAAAGGAGTCTCAGAGTGGCTTACAATCTCTGTTCCTTTCCCTTCCCCACAACAGACACCCTATGAGGCAGGTGGGGCTGAGAGAGCTCTTTCGAGGACTGCCCTTGAGAGAACAGCTCTGAAATAACTTGTGACTGACCCAAGGTAACACCAGCAGCTGCATGTGGAGGAATGGGGAATCAAACCCGGTTTTCCCAGATTAGAGTCCGCGCACTTAACCACGACACCAAACTGGCTAGAGAAGCGTTAGTGCACTTTGTCCATGGCCAGCTAAGAAGAGATTCACCCTGAGGTCATTACTCAAATGACAATTGTCCCTGACTCCCATCTTTACTCTGCTTTGTGTCTCCTACCAAGCTTCAGACAGCTTTTTGAGGTGCATTGGTTTAAATTCCTCGCAATATATCCCACAAACCAGTTACTTGGTGCCTTGGTGAGAGCCACTTTGGTGTCGTGGTTAGGAGTGTGGGATCTAATCTGGGAGAACCGGGTTTGATTCCCCCACTTCTCCACATGCAGCTGCTGGGGTGGCCTTGGGTCGGCCACAAGTTCTCTCTGAGCTGTTCTCTCATGAGCAGTTTCTCTCAGAGCTCTCTCAGCCCCACCTGCCTCACAGGATGTATGTTGTGGGGAGGGGAAGGGATGGGAAAGGAAAGGAGATGGTGAGCCCCTCTGAGACTCCTTCAGCTAGTGAAGGGGTGGGGTATAAATCCAATCTTCTCTCTCCTTAAAAAATTCGCTTTTGAAAATTTGAGAAACTGCTCTGGCCAGGTAGCTTTGCGATGGCACAGTGCCCATCAGTCAGTGCTGTTCACGGCTAATTCCTGCCAAAAACTAGCAGGACTCGTTCCTACTGACGTTCATCCTACGGGGAAGATTATAGGCTTGTTCGAAATGGGCTGAAAGTGGTTCCAGTAATTCTGCCTGCCCATACTCACCCTTAGCATACCAGAGAAGCCGGCAAAGGAATAAACAAAACCAGGGCCAGCCCCAGCTTATTTTGCACCCTAGGCGAGGATCCCTTCTGGTGCCCCCCCCCCCCCCCCCTGCGGCCCCCCATTTTCCAATATTAATCAAAAATAAATGCATTTTAGGAAGAATGAAAAACACAAATAATCAAGAAACTTCCAGAGTACGGGGCCAGGTTCAGTTTGGCGCCCCTAAGGGCTGTCCTGCTCTAGGCGATTGCCTAGTTCGCCTAGTGAGTGAGCCGACCCTGAACAAAACCAAACCGAATTTGAGTCCAGTGGCACCTTTAAGGCCCACAAAGTTTTATTCAAAGTGTAAGCTTTGCCCGAAGCAGTGTGCTTTGCACACGAAAGCAGATAAAACTTTGTGGGTCATAAAGGTGCCACCGGACTAGAACTCTGTTCTGCTGCTTCAGAGTGACACGGCCAACCCACCTGAATTCAGAACAAAACGAAAAAGTGAAAAAGTACCCTCTCTCAGAGCTGTCCTTGAAAAAAAGAGCAGTTTCTGTCAGAGTTCTGTCAGCCCTGCCTACCTCACAGGGTGTCTGTTGTGAGGAGGGGAAGGGAAAGGAGATTGTAAGCCGCTCTCTCCTTTGGATAGTGAAGGGTGGGGTATAGATCCAATCTCTTCTTCTTCTTCTTCTACCTCACAGGTGCCTGTTGTGGGGAGGGGAGGGGAAAGGGGTTTGTAAGCCGCTCTGAGGCTCCTTTGGGTAGTGAAGGGCGGGGTATAAATCCAATCTCTTCTTCTTCTTTCAGAGCTGTTCTCTCAAGGGCAGTTCTCAGGAGAGCTCCCTCAGCCCCACTGACCTCACAGGGTGCCTGTTGTGGGGAGGGGAAGGGAAAGGAGATTGTCAGCCACTCTGAGACACCTTTGGGGAGTGAAGGGCGGGGTATGAATCTAATCTCTTCTTCTTCTTCTACCTCACAGGGTGTCTGTTGTGGGGAGGGGGAGGGAAAGGAGTTTGTAAGCCGCTCTGAGACACCTTCGGGTAGTGAAGGGCATGGGGTATAAATCCAATCTCTTCTTCTTCTTGAAAAAGAGCCGTTTCTGTCAAGAGCTCTCTCAGCCCCACCCACCTCACAGGCTGTCTGTTGTGGGGAGGGGAAGGGAAAGGAGTTTGTCAGCCACTCTGAGACTCCCTTGGGTAGTGAAGGGAAGGATATAAATCCAATCTCCTTCTCCTCCTCCTCCTCCTCCTCCTCCTCTTCTTCTTCTTCATCATGGTTCTTCTTTCTCCCCCCCGCACTGTTTAGGGAGAGTTCTTCACCCCGGGACAGCCCCGTGCAAACGTCTTCACCCCCTCGCCCTTCGTCTTGCCCCAGCAGCCAGGTTCCATGTTCCTTCTCGGGATCTCGGAATTTTTTGCCAATTCCGCCGCCTCAGCCTACTTCTTCGCAGGGGTGCTTCGGAAGAACTACACCGACGAGATGGTAAGGCTCTAAGAACAACTGGCAAGCAAAACCAGGATGTTTAAATGCCTAGGAGAAGAGAAGGGGATGGGAAGGCGGATGGGGGTGCGCTAAAATTATTGTTTTGATCTCCCCCTTTTTTGTCAGAGCTGTTCTTGGAAAAGAGCCCTTTCTGTCAGAGCTCTCTCAGCCCTGCCTACCTCACAGGGTGTCTGTTGTGGGGAGGGGAAGGGAAAGGAGTTTGTGAGCCACTCTGACACTCCCTTTGGGTAGTGAAGGGCGGGGGATAAATCCAATCTCTTCTTCTTCTTCTTCAAAAATTCTACTTTGTGAGCTACCGGCATTAATGTTGTGAGCGAGCAATTTGGCTACCGCATCAGTTAGTTTGCTCTGGAGCCATCCTTCCTGAGCTGAGACAAAAATGTGTGAGCCGGAGGCTAAAAAACTGTCATCTTAGAGGGAACACTGCTTTGGAGTCTCCTCGGCCTCCTTCCCACTTTGGAGGAGCCGATCCATGCACGGATGCTTCTGTTTCAGATCCCCAAAGGCTTCCCTTTCCACCTGAACACAGACAATGTGGGAATGCTGATTCCAGAGGTGAGTTTGGAGTTAAGAAGGGGAAAGAAATATTCGGGGAAATGTCTCTTTTATGGTGTTGTTCTTTTGTTTCTCCTTAATTTTCATCTGAGGCCCGAAATGGCAAACCTGGACATTTGGGAAAACTCTTTTTTCTATCTCTTTCAGAATCACAAGTGGGACACTTTTTAGGGTTCAAGTCTAGTAGCACAGAGACAAACAAGGTTTCCCAACAGAGGGTATAGCGATAGCCACAGGAGTGAACAGCTTTAAAAGGGGATTAGATAGATTCATGGAGGAGAGGTCTATGAGTGGCTACTAGCCATGGTGACTGAGGGGAACCTCCACATCCAGAGACACTAAACCTCTAAATCCCAGAGTCAGGAGGCAACATCAGGGCAAGACCTTGGCCTCCGTGCCCTGTGGTTGGCCCTCCAGAGGAACTGGTTGGCCCCTGTGTGAGGCAGGATGCTGGACTAGATGGACCCTCACTGGTCTGATCCAGCAGGGCTCTTCTGATGTTCTTCTGAAGGCCTCGGCCTCTATGCCCTGTTGTTGGCCCTCCAGAGGAACTGATTGGCCACTTTGTGAGACAGGATGCGGGACTAGATGGACCCTCACTGGTCTGATCCAGCAGGGCTCTTCTGATGTTCTTATGAAGGCCCCGGCCTCTCTGCCCTGTTGTTGGCCCTCCAGAGGAACTGATTGGCCACTGTGTGAGACAGGATGCGGGACTAGATGGACCTTCACTGGTCTGATCCAGCAGGGCTCTTCTGATGTTCTTATGAAGGCCCCGGCCTCTCTGCCCTGTTGTTGGCCCTCCAGAGGACCTGGTTGACCCCTGTGTGAGGCAGGATGCTGGACTAGATGGACCACTGGTCTGACCCAGCAGGGCTCTTCTGATGTTCTTATTAGGGGAAGGCCTAGGCCTCTCTGCCCTGTTGTTGGCCCTCCAGAGGAACTGATTGGCCACTTTGTGAGATAGGATGCTGGACTGGATGGACCCTCACTGGTCTGATCCAGCAGGGCTCTTCTGATGTTCTTCTGAAGGCCTTGGCCTCTATGCCGTGTTGTTGGCCCTCCAGAGGAACTGATTGGCCACTTTGTGAGACAGGATGCTGGACTAGATGGACCCTCACTGGTCTGATCCAGCAGGGCTCTTCTGATGTTCTTATGAAGGCCCCGGCCTCTCTGCTCTGTTGTTGGCCCTCCAGAGGAACTGCTTGGCCACTGCGTGAGACAGGATGCTGGACTAGATGGACCCTCACTGGTCTGGTCCAGCAGGGCTCTTCTGATGTTCTTCTGAAGGCCTCGGCCTCTCTGCCCTGCCTCACACAGGGGCCAACCAGCAGGGCTCTTCTGATGTTCTTATTAGGGGAAGGCCTTGGCCTCTCTGCCCTGTTGTTGGCCCTCCAGAGGAACTGGTTGGCCCCTGTGTGAGGCTGGACTAGATCTGGTCTGGTCCTCACTGGTCTGGTCCAGCAGGGCTCTTCTGAGGTTCTTATGAAGGCCCTGGCCTCTCTGCCCTGTTGTTGGCCGTCCAGAGAAACTGGTTGACAAAGTGTGCCTGCACACGAAAGCTCATACCTTGAGCAAACCTTTGATTGGTCTTCAAGGTGCCCCCATTGGACTCTATAATTGTTCTACTGCTTCACACCAACACAGCTGACCACCTGGATCTATCACCAGGGTCACCCAGTGAGCCCCCAAGGCAGGGTGGGGATTTGAACCTGGGTCACGGAGACCCTAGCCCAAGCTTCTAACCGTGCTGGTAGTTCCAGAGAGCGACTGCCTGACCCCCTCAGCAAGTCAAGACTCATCTCAGTGCCTCTTTTCCTCTACCCCGCCCCGCCCCAGCTGGAGAAGGCGTTCCCAGATATGCCCCTGCAGGTTCTCGTGGGGGCCCGGAAGCCGCCTGCCCTGAGCTTCTACCCCGACGGGGTGCACGTGACAGCCTTTGGATCGATTGAAGTGTGCGTCGTCCTGCCCAACGGAAGCTTGGCCCCGGCCTTCCAGCTGAATATCGTAAGGCGGGAGTGTGCTGTGGGGCTTTTTCTCCGGGATGGGGGCGGTGGGGCTAAAATATGGACACTTCTCAAAGGAGGAAGACGACAGTCACCGGGTCTTACCGGCCTTCCAGCAGGGGGAGCCCCAGTCTGTGTCTTCTGGTTGGACAAAAAAGGGAGGGGGGGAAGACTGAACCTAAAACCTAGAATTCAGAACCTATAAAGGTTAGTCAAGAACAGAAGAGGGCCAACTCTTAAAATCTAATTATGAAACCTAAAAAATATACATGTATTTATTAAACACAAATTAAAATAACTAATAAGGGCCCATTCGTACCTCATATACAAATATAAAAACATACAAAGGCTGATGAAATAGACCTAACGCGTTTCGGCCTTCACAGGCCTTCCTCAGAGGTCTAATGCAAATAGAACATGTTGGCTGATATGTAAAAATATATACAATCATACATATACAGAATATGCAATAGAGACCAGAAAACAATTGTTCCAAAGTTTAACCACTGGGCAAAGAAGAGAAATACAAAAATACAAATGAACCCTCCAGTGCAATCACCTGTCCAGTAGTACTTCTCTCTGGTCAACTTATATATATTCTCCTGAGCTTTTACAGCCAAATGTTCCCAATGAAATGTTTCTTAAGCAGTCTATTTTAGGTCTATTTCATCAGCCTTTGTATGTTTTTATATTTGTATATGAGGTACGAATGGGCCCTTATTAGTTATTTTAATTTGTGTTTAATAAATACATGTATATTTTTGTATGTTTCATAATTAGATTTTTAGAGTTGGACTTCTTCTATTCTTGACTAAGCTTTATAGGTTCTGAATTCTGTGTCTTCTGGTTACCATAGAGTTTTTGGCCGAAATGCTAGAGCGCCGACGTGCGATGTGCCCGGCATGATGACATCACGTCCGGGTGACATCATCGCACCGACGACGTCAACACGGGAGAGGGCTGTTTGGGGGCGGGCCCCTCGAAATCAGGGGGACCCCTGCCTCCACTGGGGTTCCGGCGACCCTGTGTAAGACAGGGGTCCCAGTGGGCACCCGCTGACCTCTTTCCCGGCGCCCGCCAACTGTTTTTAGAAAGTGGGCGTGGTCATGTGGGGTTTCCACCCAGCCGGGCTTCTGATTGGCCATTGGAGAGTTGATTGGCGGCGCTCTGCCTGACACCACAGCACAAAGGTTTTCACTGTGTGATGGGAGGGACGCGGCGGCTGCCGTTTTGTGGCGGGCCCCGCCTCCCCTGGCAGCCATTCCGTAGCCGCGCACCCCATGGCGTGCTAGAATTCCAAAGGTGCCCACGGGCTCAGAAAGGGTGGGGAGAAGGGAGGGGACGTGCTACACTTAGTGTCCACCCTGGCCGGGGGGTGGGGAAGGGGATTTCAGAAAGGGTCTTGTGGAGACCAACGCTCCCTCTAAGCTGTGGAGTCTTGTGGGCAAAACGTCTACTTTGTGAGCTTACTGGCATGAAAGTGGTGAGCGAGCAATTGGGCTGCTGCATAAATCAGTTTGCTCCGGAGCCCTCCTTCCTGGGCTCAGACAAGAATGTGTGCGCTGGCTCACACTCACTCAGCTCAGAGGGAACACTGGCAGCTACCAGGGGTCATTTCCTGCAAGAGCGCACAGGAGCGGAGCTCCGGCAGTAAAGAGCCCAGGGGGCGGGCACATGCAACAAGCCCCACCCCCTGTTCCCAGCAGCCCTCAGTCAGAGCAAGAAGCAGCCAGGTAAGCTGCAGAGGACCCCCCCCCCGTGGCACCTTTAAGACCAAGTTTTATTCAGGTAGCAGCTCTCCCTCCTCTGTGAGGGCAGATCTGCACATCTCCCCCCCCCAATAGCTAGCAATCCAAAGTCCAGTGGAGCCTGAGCGGTGGGTGTTGCCTTCTGACACACTCCCGGTGATGTCAGGGGGTGGGGCATATGCAAATGAGTTATGCAAATGAGCTATTGCACCTATTTTTCTATGAAATGACCCCTGGCAGCTACCAAGGCTCCCTCTAAGCTGTGGAGTCTTGTGAGCAAAACTTCTTCTTGGTGAGCTTACTCGCATGAAAGCGGTGAGCGAGCGACTGGGCTGCCGCATCAATGAGTTTGCTCCGGAGCCCTCCTTCCTGGGCTCAGACAAGAATGTGTGAGCCGGAGGCTAAAAAGCTGAGCTAGCTCACACTCCCTCAGCTCAGAGGGAACACTAGAGACAGAAGGCGGAGGGCTTGTTCAGGGATGCCGCGAACTCTCATCAAGACTTGTAGAACCTTTCCAGTGTTCAAAGCGCCTCACACAAGCCACCTCAGTAATCCGCACAAGAACTCTGTGAAGTTGGCCTGGTGTGTTGTTTCCCATATCGTCTGGCCAGTGTGGTGTAGCGGTTAAGAGTGCGAACTCTAATCTGGGAGAACCAGTTTCGATTCCCCACTCCTCCTCCACGTGCAGCTGCTGGTGTGACCGAGGGTCAGTCACAAGCAGTGTTCCCTCTAAGCTGAGTTAGTGTGAGCCAGCTCACAGTTTTTTAGCCTCCGGCTCACACCTTTCTGTCTCAGCTCAGGAAGGAGGGCTCGAGAGCAAACTAATTTCTGCCGCAGCCAAATCGCTCGCTCGCCACTTGAATGCCAGGAGCTCACCAAGTAGAATTTTTTGGCTCACAAGACTCCGCAGCTTAGAGGGAACATTGGAAGTTCTTTCAGCGCTGTTCTCTCAAGGGCAGTTCTCGGGAGAGCTCTCTCAGCCCCGCCTGCCTCACAGGGTGTCTGTTGCAGGAAGCGGGGGAGGAGGAGACTCCTTCGGGTAGTGAAGGGCGGGGTATAAATCCAATCTTGTCTTCTTCCTCTGGCTCTCCTTTGGTCCACAGGACGGCAACTTCACCGGGCAGTTCTTCCTCGGACCAGTCAGTTCTGGGAACTCCCTCGGCAAGCTTTCGGGATTGGTGAACCTGAAAAAGTGAGTCTTAGGGTTGCCAACTTCCCAGGGGAGACTGGAGATTTCCTGCCGTGGCACCTGATCCCCACCTAACAGAGACCAGTTCCCCCGGGGGGGGGGGGAAGGGCAGCTTTGGAGGGTGGGCTCTCGTAAGGTCCCTCCCCTTCCCAAACCCCGCCCTCCCCGGGCTCCACCTCCCTTGGAGTGTATCCAATAGCTGTCATTGAATGCCTAAACATGCAATGTTAAGCTTCGTCCTGGGCTAGGATCCTAATGCACCCAATCGCATAGCTAGCCCAGGAAGAACCGACCAATCGCACATCAGCAAGCTCCCTGAGCGGGAACGTCGACGATTGGACCTTATGAAGACAATCTCATTGGTTGATAATGTACAGTAAAGGTGGGGCTATATTAGCCGGGAGAGTTTAAAAAGGGAACAGCTTTCATGCAAAGGCTGTTCTGGCTATCTGATGTTGATCCGTGTTGGAGCTGTGTTCGAGTTGATGAATAAAGCGATCTCCTTGCTGAATCACTCTCCGACTTCTTTGTTAAGTGAACGGCTTAACATCCCCCCCAATCTCCTGTTATTTTGCAAGCGAGTCTCCCTGAAAGCCCCGTGCTTTTTCTGTGCCAAGGAGTCCTCCCCTTTTTGTTCCTACACTTCCTCTCTGGCACCCACATGTTTGCATAGGGGGCTCTCAGACTGAGCAATGACCCTTTTCTCAATGGTCCCAACAGCTTCCAGGTGTACCAGGGCTGGTCGAACATCGGTGACGTCAAGGTGAGCCGGGTGGGGGCGTGTGTTTGTTTGCTAAATTTGAATCCGGTACCACCTTAGAGACCAACATGATTTCCGAGATATAAACGCGGTGGCTCAAGTGGTGAAGACGCTGAACTGCAGGCTGCGGAAGGTCGGTAGTTCAGCAGTTCGAGACTCGAGTGTGCCGCATGACGGAGTGAGCTCCTGTCTCTAGTTCCAGCTCCGGCCAACCTAGCAGTTCGAAAGCAAGAGATTGCAAGTAGATAAATAGGTACCGCTTCGGTGGGAAGGGAACAGCGTTCCGTGCGCCTCGGTGCTTAGTCATGCCGGCCACTTGACCACGGAAATGTCTTCGGACAGCGCTGGCTCTTCGGCTTTGAAACGGAGATGAGCACCGCAACCCTAGAGTCGAACTCGACTGGCTTTCGAGCAAGGGAACCTTTACCTTTATCTAAGCTGTCGAGAGTAAAAGAAGAAGAAGAAGAAGAAGAGATTGGATTTATACCCCGCCTTTCACTTGGAGTCTCAGAGCGGCTTACAAACTCCTTTCCCTCCGCCTCCCCACAACAGACACCCTGTGAGGTGGGTGGGGCTGAGAGAACTCTGACACAAACTGCTCTTTTTCAAGGACAGCTGTGCCAGAGCTTGTGACTGACCCAAGGTCACATCAGCAAGTGCAAGTGGAGGAGTGGGGAATCAAACCCGGTTCTCCCAGATTAGAGTCCGCGCACTTAACCACTACACCAAACTGGCTCTCTAATCCTCTGAATCCCAGAGCCAGGAGGCAACATCAGGGGGAGGCCTCGGCCTCTCTGACTGGTTCTTGGCCCTCCAGGGGAACCGGTTGGCCCCTCTGTGAGGCAGAATGCTGGACTAGATGGACCACTGTTCTGGTCCAGCAGGGCTCTTCTCATGTTCTTAGGAAGGCCTCGGCCTCTCTGCTCTGTTTGGTGTAGTGGTTAGGAGCGCGGACACTCATCTGGGATAACTGGGGGTTTGATTCCCCACGCTTCCACATGCAGCGGCTGGTGTGACCTTGGGTCAGTCACAAGTTCTTTCAGCGCTGTTCTCTCAAGGGCAGTCCTCAGGAGAGCTCTCTCGGCCCCGCCTACCTCACAGGGTGTCTGTTGTGGGGGGAGGGGCCTGGAGGGGGTGCAGGTGGCGAGAAGGCCTGAGGGAAGGGGCAGGATTCACAATCAGGTGGGCACACAAACATGGAAAGAGAAGTGTAGGCAGGGCCTGGAGGTGGGTGGAAGGTGGCCCCTTGGCACTGTCTGCCCCGGCCCTCTAGAATCCCGGAACCAGCACTTTCTAGAGGCCCGATCCCTTGGGGTCTTATTTGTCCTTGCGCCAGGGTCCTCCTCCAATCCCGGGACGTGCCGCATGTTACCCCTGTGGCTGTCTCTTCCCTTTCACACCTGTGCTTCTTCTAAGACCCAGTTTTTGTTTGCTTCAGGTGGAATTTCTGGAGAATGCGTTGAAGGTCGGTGTGCAGCTGGGACTGCTGGCAGTCAATCGTGAGTCCGGGATGGCTTCCCTGCCTTTTGTGCTGTTTTTTGCGGGGGAATGGGGACTCTCCCTTCCTCTGCCTGGGTTCCTCCTCTCATTGTCCCCCTTCCTGTTCTTTAGAGCATCTGAAGAAAGGCGTCCTCCTTCCCAGCATCCATAATATCAGCCTGGTGAACCCGCAGATCACAATGTACCAGGTAACGCCTCACTCTACGGCTTCAGCGTCGAGAGGGGCCGTGGCTCAGTGGGAAGAGCCTCTGCCTGGCATGTAGGAGGTTCCAGGTTCAATCCCCGGCATCACCAGTTAAAAAGGACTAGGCTGTAGGTGATGGGAAAGACCTGTGCTTGAGACCCTGGAGAGCTGTCAAGAGAGGCCGTGGCTCAGTGGCAAGGCCTCTGCTTGGCATGCAGAAGGTCCTAGGTTCACGCCCCGGCATCGCCAGTTAAAAGGACCAGGCAGGAGGTGATGGGAAAGACCTCAGCCTGAGACCCTGGAGAGCTGTCAAGAGGGGCCGTGGCTCAGTGGTAGAGCCTCTGCTTGGCATGCAGAAGGACCCAGGTTCAATCCCCGGCATCTCCAGTTAAAAGGACCAGGCAATAGGTGAAGGGGAAAGACCTCCGCCTGAGACCCTGGAAAGCTATAAAGAAGGGGCCGTGGCTCAGTGGCAGAGCCTCTGCTTGGCATGCAGAAGGACCCAGGTTCAATCCCCGGCATCTCCAGTTAAAAGGACCGGGCAGTAGGTGATGGGAAAGACCTCAGCCTGAGACCCTGGAGAGCTGTCAAGAGGGGCCGTGGCTCAGTGGTAGAGACTCTGCTTGGCATGCAGAAGGTCCCTGGTTCAATCCCCGCATCATCTCCAGCTAAAAGGAACAGGCAGAAGGTGATGGGAAAGATCTCTGCCTGAGACCCTGGAGAGCTGTCCAGAGGGGCCGTGGCTCAGTGGTAGAGCCTCTGCCTGGCATGCAGAAGGTCCCAGGTTCAATCCCTGGCATCTCCAGTTAAAAGGACCAGGCAGGAGGTGATGGGAAAGACCTCTGCCATGTGGAATCTGCGGCCAAAAGTTGTAGTGATGGCCACAGGAATAAAGAGCTTTCAAAGAGGCTTAGATAGATTCATGGAGGTTAAGTGTATCAGTGGGTGCTAGCCCTGGTGGCTGAGGGGAACCTCCACATTCAGAGGCACCACTCCTCGGAATCCCAGCACAGAATCTGTGTGTGTGTCTGTGTTAAATGCCATTGAGTCGCTTCCAACTTATGGCCACCTTATGAATTAACGACCTCCAAAGTGTCCTCTCGTCAGCAGCCTCACTCGGGTCTTGCAAACCGAGGGCCACTGCTTCCTTGACAGAGTCCATCCATCTCCTGTTGGGTCTTCCTCTTTTCCTGCCGCCTTCAGCTTTTCCTAGCATTCAGGGGTCATTCCCTGCGGGAGCGCACAGGAGCGGAGATCCGGCAGTAAAGAGCCCAGGGGGCGGGCACATGCAACAAGCCCCACCCCCTGCTCCCAGCAGCCCCCAGTTAGAGTAAGAAGCAGCCAGGTAAGTTGCAGAGCTCCCCCTGGCCCAAAACAGTCCAGTGGCACCTTTAAGACCAGGTTTTATTCAGGTACAAGCTCTCCCTCCTCTGCGGGGACAGATCTGCACGTTCCCCCCCCCCCCCCCCCAATAGCTAGCAATCCAAAACAGTCCAATGGCGCCTGAGCGGTGGGTGTCGCCTTCTGGCACACTTCCGGTGACATCAGGGGGTGTGGCATATGCAAACGAGTTATGCGAATGAGTTATGCGAATGAGCTCCCGCACCTCTTTTTCTACAGAATGACCCCTGCTAGCATTATTGTCTTTTCCAGTGACTCTTGCCCTCTCATAATATGACCAAAGAACGATAGCCTCAGTATGGTCGTTTTAGCTTCTAGTGAGGGTTCAGGCTCAGTTTGATCTGGAACCCACTGATTTTGCTATCTTGTTTTACCAGACGAAAAACTCTTCTCCCCGCAGGGCCTGATGCTCGTAGCGACAGATCTCCACCGTGCTGAGCTCCCAGCTGCTGTGTAGCCACTATGAACTGCGAGGAAGGAAGGAAAGGCAGAGACACCCCCCCCCCAAATTCCACCCTGAGGCCAGATCCTGCATAGCCTCCTTCAGAAACAGGCTGCACTGGACATCTCGGGACATATTTTTGGGCCGTTCCAGGCCACGTTCGATTTGTGCAGGGACGGCACCGCGGTCACCCGCGCGATGGCAGGGTGACGTATCGCTGGGCCTGGTGTTTGTCCCGCATTGAGATGTTGAAATGAAGATCACAGAAAAGGTGACGTCGGCCACGTATTGGACAGTGTCTGTGCCGTCGCCGTCAGAAGGGACGTGAGCCCTCCCTTGATGATGCCATTTTGTGAGTTCCAAAGAGCTCTTTTTTAAGGCGGGGGAGAGGCAGGGCACTGTTTCTTTCTCCAGTACTAAAGTGCGCGGTCTCCTCTCCTGCACGGTTTTAAAGAACGCGTCTCCAATATTCAGGCCCCGGATCCCTTTCTGAACATATCCAAACTTCCCCATTCCCAGTCGTTGCCATCCCTCTAAAAGGCTGTCACTTCCTGTAGTCAGGTAAGCATCTCTTCGGGGCCCTTGCACGCACCCCTCCTTTTCGGGAGGCGAGATGGGCTGTTTCAGATAGCGTAGACTTTTCAGCTGTGGTCCCCCCCCAGATGTGGAATGCTTGCCCCAAAAAACTTTGCCAGGCACCGAATCTTTTGCGTTTTCAGTTCCAGTTGAGAATTCAGTTATTTCGCCAAGGTTTTGGCTGGTTTTATCTCTCCCTCTTCTTATCCATGTAAGACACATGTTGGGATACCTGGTTTGTTTTTAACCGGTTTGATTCCCTGATTTATGCTGTGTATTTTACTGTTTTGTCCTAACCTACATAGCCCAGGTTAGCCCGAGCTCACCAAATCTTGGAAGCTAAGTAGGGTTTCAGGAGGCGAGATGGGCTGTTTCAGAGAGCGTAGACTTTTCAGCTGTGCCCCCCCCCCCAGATGTGGAACGCTTGCCCCAAAAAACTTTGCCAGGCACCGAATCTTTTGAGTTTTCAGTTCCAGTTGAGAATTTAGTTATTTAGTACTCGGATGGGAGACCGCCAAGGAAGTCCAGGGTTGCTATGCAGAGGCAGGCAAGGGCAAAACCCCTCTGTTCATCTACCCTGACATGGATGGCCTTACCTTGTTAGAACTTGGAAGCTAAGCAGGGTCTGTCCTGGTCAGTGCTTGGATGGGAGACCGCCAAGGAAGCCCAGGGTTGCTACGCAGAGGCAGGCAAGGGCAAACCACCTCTGTTTGTCTCTTGCCTTGACCTGGATGGCCCAGGCAAGCCCGATCTCATCAGATCTCAGAAGCTAAGCCGGGTTAGATCAAGACGGGCAGCCGTGTGAGTCTGTCTGTAGCAACAGAAAAGAGCGAGAGTCCCGTAGCGCCTTAAAGACTTCGCAAAATTAGTGGCATAACCTGCCTAAATCTAATTAAACTGAATTAAACTCCAATTCAGTAAAGGTGCTCCTGGACTCCTGCTCTTTTCTACGGCTACAGACAGAGGAACACGGCCGCCCATCTCGATCGGTCTCCGTGGAGGAAGGCTCCACATTGAACCGTCAACCTTGCGACGAAACTTGCACAGGTACGAACAGGCACCTGGAGAAACGGGCCGTGACTCGCGAAAGCTCCTCCCCTGCCACAGATTTTCTTAGTCTTTAAAGTGCTCTTGGACCCCTGCTCTTTTCTACTGCTAAGCAGGATTAGTACTGGGATGGCTTGACGGCAACCCCCCCCCCCTCAAAACACCTGTCTTGTAAGATTCCCGGTGGCCTTAAAAGTTTCAAATATGTTTTAACGATTAGGTACAGACGGATGCTCCAATCAGGGGCGGATTAACCATGAAGCAGACTAAGCGGGTGCTTAGGGCTCCAGGGCCAAAGGGGGCACCGCAAAGTTGGGGAAAGGGCGAAAAGACCTTTATGTAGCCCACGCTTGGCTTAGTTTGTACAGTATGTTGTGTTATCCTATGAATAAATTTTTGTACTGCTGCAACCTGCTTTGTGAGCTCCCGTCTCTAGTTCCAGCTCCTGCAAACCTAGCAGTTTGAAAGCAAGAAACTGCAAGTAGATAAATAGGTACCACTTCGGTGGGAAGGCAACAGCGTTCTGTGCGCCTTGGTGTTTAGTCATGCCGGCCACATGACCACGGAAACGTCTTCGGACAGCGCTGGCTCTTCGGCTTGGAAACGGAGATGAGCACCGCAACCCTGGAGTCGGATTCGACTGGCTTTCGAGCAAGGGAGACCTTTACCTTTACCTTTAACCTGCTTTGTATATCTGGTCAGACAGGTCAACCACTAAAATGGACTGGGTCAGTGTGGAAAGGAGGGGGGTGTTGGATCCCCAAGCATCGAGAATAAATCCACGTTTTCAAGAAAAGCAAAATTTATTTCAAAGCGTTGAAGACATACTCAAACACGTTCTTTGTTAGAACTGGGGATACACAGGTAGGGCGAGCATAATAAAGGGAATTCAAACAGATAC